ATACACACACACACACACACACACACATCAATTTACCCATAAGAAATGTCCTAATTGGTATAGCACATTAAAACATATTGTATAATATATAATTTCAGATAATTTCGGAATAATAATATTTACAGCACATAAACAGACACAAACGAAGATGATTTTGAATTTCTTAATCATGCAAAATCTTCAAATAGTCATAAGATAGTTTAATCTCGTTTGAGACAATTTTGAAAACCAGTATTACAGTTTCGTCTTTTTGTGTCCGTATCCAAATTATTCATGTTTTAAGGAACTGTGTGTACTTAATTTCAACGCATTGTGTATGAATGAAAATGTACTCAGGTTTCTTTTCCCGCTTTTGCCAGAGAATGGTTTCTTCTCGATAGCTTTTCCAAACTACCGAGTTCGGTTCCACATAGCTGCACGAGCACAGCGCGTGCAGTGAGAAACCTGATTACTTCAAGTCATCTGGCAGTGAATTTCCAGCCACAATCAGGGTACTTAAACAATGAATTGTCGTTGTTTAAACACAACACAGAAGTCGTGCCAGTAAGCTGTCCGTTTTATAAATGGTTTCATGATAAATGGTTTCATGACAAAAAAAAAACACAAAAAAACCCAAAAACAAAAACAAACAAACAAACAAACAAACCCGTAATGTGAAATAGCTTACAGTGGGCTCCGCCCTTTCAAACCATGTATTGATTGTATGCTGAACAATACACACACCAGTAACATTCGTAAAGGTAATCTTTAGCTGTAGAACCGTATTTGTGCGGGAGTCATATATAATCTTGTGTGGTTTCGTGCAATCCATATAGTGGTTCAGAGGACGGTAAATGTTTACTTAGTGAGGTAACAAGACTTAGGGAGCAGCGGGTCTGTAGGATCTCAAGAGAGTCCTTGAGGAATCCTTCGAGCAGACTGTGGGGCGAGCTCTGCGTGGTGGTTTCTTGACCATTTAATAACAGTTGTGGAACCGGAAATACATCGTGATCGTCAACTGAACGCCATGAATACTTTGTTCCATTTTTTAATCATAACATTATATGAGTGAAAAAAATAATTCACTATAGCTATATGTGTGAAATCAATAATTCACTATCGCTATATGTGTAAAATAAATAATTCACTATCGCTATATGTGTGAAATCAATAATTCACTATTCCTATATGTGTGAAATAAATAATTCACTATCGCTATATGTAAAAATTTAATTCACTATCGCTTTATGTGTGAAATAAATAATTCACTATCGTTATATGTGTGTAATAAATAATTCACTATCGCTATATGAGTGAAATAAATAATTCACTATCGCTATATGTGTGAAATAAATAATTCACTATCGCTTTATGTGTGAAATCAATAATTCTCTATCGCTATATGAGTGAAATAAATAATTCACTAACGCTATATGATTGAAAAAAGTAATTCACTATCGCTTTATATGTGTAATAAATAATTCACTATCGCTATATGAGTGAAATAAATAATTTACTATCGCTATATGTGTGAAATCAATAATTCACTTTCCCTATGTTTAAAAAAATAATTCACTATCGCTATATGTGTAAAATAAATAATTCACAATTGCTATATGAAATAAATAATTCACTATCGCTATAGGAGTGAAATCAATAATTTACTATCGCTATATGTGTGTGGAGGGCACTGAGTGGCCGAGTGGTCTGAAAAGCTCTCCGTTACGGATCACTTCCATTTCACCTCTGTCTGCGTGGGTTCGAGTCTAAGATTTGGCGCATGTGGATATGTGAGAAAGCTTGCCAGTAACTTCTCGGGGGTCGGTGTTTTATTCAGCGGATTAATCAGTTTCTTCCTCCACCATTAATAATTGCTACCATGTATAGCCTATCATGTGCTGAAAAATGGCGTTAAACCCCGCAACAACAACAAGATATATGTGTGAAATAAATAATTCACTATCGCTATTTGAGTGAAACCAATAATTCACTATAGCTATATGAGTGAAATCAATAATTCAATATAGCTATATGTGTGAAATCAATAATTCAATATCGCTATATGAGTGAAATAAATAATTCACTATCAATAAATAAGTGAAATCAATAATTTACTATCGCTATATGAGTGAAATAAATTATTCACTTTCGCTACATGTGTGAAATCAATAACTCAATATCCCAATCTGCGTGAAATCAATAGTTCACTATTGCTATATGATTTAAATCAATAATTCTCTATCGCTATATGAGTGAAATAAATTATTCACTTTCGCTATATGTGTGAAAAAAGTAAGTCACTATCGCTATATGAGTGAAATCAATAATTCACTATCGCTATATGAGTGAAATCAATAATTTACTATCGCCATATGTGTAAAAAAAATAATTCACTATCGATATATGTGTAAAGTAAATAATTCACTATCGCTATATGTGTAAAATAAGTAATTCACTATAGCTATATGTGTAAAATAAATAATTCACTATCGCTATATTAGTGAAATCAATAATTCAGTATTGCTATATGTGTGAAATAAATTATTCACTATAGCTATATGTATGAAATCAAATAATTCACTATCGCTATATGAGTGAAATAAATAAATCACGATTGCTATATGAATGAAATTAATAATTCACTATCGCTATATGTTTAAAATCAATAATTAAATATCGCTATATGTATGAAATAAATAATTCACTATTTCTTCTTCCAACATTAATGCTGCCGCCATGTATAGCCTATAATGTGCTGAAAAATGGCGTTAAGCCCCGCAAAAACAACAAGATATGTGTGAAACAAATAATTCACTATCGCTATTTGAGTAAAATCAATAATTCACTATTGCTATATGTGTGAAATAAATAATTCACTATCGCTATATGTGTGAAATAAATAATTCACTATCACTATTTCAGTGAAATCAATAATTCACTATCGCTATATGAGTGAAATCAATAATTCACTATTGCTATGTGCGAAATCAATAATTCACTATCGCAATGTGTGAAATCAATAATTCACTATTGATATATGTATGAAATGAATAATTCACTATTGCTATATGTGTGAAATAAATAATTCACTATCGCTATATGTGTGAAATAAATAATTCACTATCGCTATATGAGTGAAATCAATAATTCACTATTGCTATATGTGTGAAATAAATAATTCACTATCGCTATATGTGTGAAATCAATAATTCACTATTGCTATATGTATGAAATGAATAATTCAGTATTGCTTTATGTGTGAAATAAATAATTCACTATCGCTATGAGTGAAATAAATAATTCACTATCGCAATGTTTGAAATCAATAATTCACTATTGATATATGTATGAAATGAATAATTCACTATCGCTATGAGTAAAATAAATAATTCACTATCGCTATATGAGTGAAATCAATAATTCACTATCGCTATATGTGTGAAATCAATAATTCATTATCGCTATATGAGTGAAATAAATAATTCACTATCGCTATATGTGTGAAATAAATAATTCACTATCACTATATGTGTAAAAAAAATAATTCACTATCGCTTTATGAGTAAAATAAATAATTCACTATCGCTATATGAGTGAAATAAATAATTCACTTTTACTATATGAGCGAAAAAAATAATTCAGTATTGCTATATGATTTAAATCAATAATTAACTATCGTTAATATGTGTGAAATAAATAATTCAGTATTGCTTTATGTGTGAAATAAATAATTCAGTATCGCTATATGAGTGAAATAAATAATTCACTATCGCTATATGATTGAAATAAATAATTCAGTATCGCTATATGAGTGAAAAATCAACAATCCATACACAGTACTTGTGGATGAAACAAACATTATTCACATTTTTTTTACAGTTTCTACATTTCGATCGAATCATACATTGATCAATTTTTTTGTACAAACCCTATACTTCGATACCTTTGGTGAAAGTATCATACATTGGTTCATATTTGTGTGGAAATGCTCTCTTTCTGTGTGTGTGTGTGTGTGTGTGTGTGTGTGTGCGTGAGTGTGTGTGTGATTTAGATTTTTAAGTTAGCTTTAACAATTTTTTGTCATATCGCTAAGATGTCTGCAGTGTGACAGTTTATAGTGATGTCTAGCAATAGGGTATCATGCCGCAGACATGTAGCATCATGTCCAATCCAATCACATTATCCTGACACCAGGCCAACCATTCCTAACACTAAACTTTTAATGTTGAGCGCCAAGCGAGACAGCTGTTAGTACCATTTTTAAAAGTCTTTGGTATGACTGGGCCGGGGTTCAAACCCGCGACCTCTTGCATCCGAGGCGGACGCTTTAACCACTAGGCCACCGGAGCGATCGGAAATGCTGTGCATTGATCATCTATGGTCACATTTGTGTGGAAATTCTATGCATTGATCATCCATGGTGATAGATCGATATATCACTCATATTTATGTGGAAATTCTATGTATCGATCATCCATGGTGATAGATCGATATATCACTCATATTTGTGTGGAAATTCTATGTATTGATCATCCATGGTGATAGAGCGATATATCACTCATATTTATGTGGAAATGATATGCATTGATCATCCATGGTGACAGATCGATATATCACTCATATTTATGTGGAAATTCTATGTATTGACCATCCATGGTGATAGATCGATATATCACTCATATTTATGTGGAAATTCTATGTATTGATCATCCATGGTGATAGATCGATATATCACTCATATTTATGTGGAAATGATATGCATTGATCATCCACGGTGATAGATCGATATATCACTCATATTTATGTGGAAATTTTATGTATTGATCATCCACGGTGATAGATCGATATATCACTTATATTTATGTGGAAATGATATGCATTGATCATCTATGGTGATAGATCGATGTTTGATCATCTATGGTGATAGATCGATGTCATTCATATTTGTTTATAAGTTCCATACTTTGGTTATTGTTTGATTACTCATTGAAGTTGGGTGTTCGGATTAGTTCCCTTTAGACTGCTCCGGTGGCCTAAGTGATTAGAGCGCCCGCCTCGGATGCGGGACGTTGCGGGTTCGAACCCTGACCTCGTCATACCAAAGACTTAAAAATGGTACTAGGAGCTGCTTCGCTTGAAGCTCACCTTTTTTGTTTGTTAGGGATTATCTGTCGGATTTATTTGACTGAGTGGGATGATGTTACAGTGGTAAATATTGCTATAAACTGCCACAATGCAGACATCGTAGCGCTAAAAACACAACATAATGTTTCCAGTTATGATGGATATGATTTCCTTTATATCGGTTATTTAACTCGGTACGTATCATTCAGTTAAATCAATTGTTGGACTCTATGGATACTAGTACAGCATCAGATTCTTTCATTGTTCAGTTATATTATAAACAAACAAAACGTTTTGTTCACGAAATTGCTTTCAGTGTCATCGCTAAATCCAATCCAATCCCGACATCATCTCGTCACACCATGCTTGAATCAGGTAGTTTACATCATGCATAAGCACACATGACCACACATGCACTCACATGCTTTTTATCTGTCAAGTTTTAAAGAGTTCCTGCAAATATACACACACAATTTGTCTTCGGGAATCGAAGTTTTCTGTTAATAGGAGTGGGTTATTTAAATTTACCTATCATCAGAGTCATTCTGTTCAAGCTTGAAAATGAGTTTGATTTAAATAACAAACTCAACACGCATGGTTGCTCTGATCCATGGATAGTTCTTTGCAACCAGAATATTATTAGGTGACTAGATTTAAAAAAGATCAGGATATGTGCTGGAGGTAATATCAAAAAGTTTATAGACATCAGAATTCCGTGTAATATATCCCAGTGCCGTATTTTCACATCTGGAATTCATCTTTGGGATGACAGTGTCACAAGAGCCGAACAGATTTTGTAGGCGGCAAATTGGGATCTTTGAACATCTATTATGCGAGAATAGCTAAACAGCGGGACTTGTATTGACAAGCTCTATTAACTTTGTAATGGGTGAATTTATGTCCGTTTTGTTGCCTATTTGGACTACAGTACAGTTGTGGCTTGTGCGGATGTTAACAGGTACATTATATATCGTTGCAACTTTGCCAAAACGCATGCCAAGATGTAGGTTATAGATAAGGTGAAAGACGAGTCTAGTATACAAATTAACAAGTGTGCCAGGTAGCGTCAAGGTGTGGATGGGAATACAGATCTTTCCTGTTGCATTGTTTGAAATAGTTTATCAGTGCTGCAAAATAAGTAGGCAGTATGTACCGTACGTACCTCCCCTTCAGCAGAACCACAAAAAGTCCGTATGTACCATACGTATCTGATCTTGACAGTTTATCTCAAGAAGTCCGTGTGTACCTTACGTATCTGACCTTGAGAATAATCACAAGGAGCCAGTAGATACCATATGTATCTGTACTTGAGAAGAATCAAAAGAAGTTCGTATGTACTGATTTATCTGCCCTTGAGAAGACTCACAAGTAGTAGTAGAGGAAAATGAGAGTTTTGGCCCACCACCCCCTCCCACACCTCCTCTCCCACCCCCGCCAAACCCCTCATTTCCCTATACTACTACTATGTAGACAGATATTTTGTAACCAGACAAAACAACAGGTGTTGGAATGCGATAAGCTCTGTCAACAGAAGTGACGAATTTGTTAGAACAGCGTATGTGTGGAATATGATTATTCTAAAGACGGCAAATAGGTTTCACCACAAATTTTTTATCAGATAACAGGATGAAAATTAAACTGTGTATTAGAACGTTTCAGTTAACAAGGCGGAAATTAAACTAGCATTAGAATGAAAATGATATTATTTTATATCTCATTACCAATGATTAATGTTTCAACTGTTGATATTAAAAATACTTCACTATCACGACTATAGATACTAAATTTTACTTTACCGCTCACACAGCGATGGGACTCAAACAAATCTTTCATTTCTGGTTTGTTCAGAGGATATTTTTTGTTGATAAAATATACCCTTGACCGATCGAGATCAATTGTGAGTTTAGTATAGTTTTGTTGGCTAATGGGGCTGTGAAAGTTTTTAAATTCCGCTAGCAACTTTTGATACAATTGTTCGAGATAATTGAAATACACGCTGTTATCAGATCTGATGAGCGAAAGTTTTAACTTGTCACGTGTTCCATTAAAACAAATACCTGATGTTTCATTATTAAATTCAACTGTCAATTGTTTACCGTCCATCATTAGACATTTGATGTTACTATTGTAGCTATTTGTCATTGTCAAATTTTCAAACATTATTTTATAAGTTTAGATAAAATTTTAGTCACAATGAACATACCCAAGGGCAAATGTATCTACTCCATTTTCACAATAACGTTTGCCATCAAAATTACACAATCCACGTTTGATAATGACATCTGTTTCAAGCTTATGATGATTAATTCGAATTGCCATAGCTCTCATAAAACTAACACCGCCATCAAGCGCGTACTTGTAGTCATCAAATTTCATAAACTTTTTAACAAAATTACGAGGCAGACCTTTGGCTTTTTTCGTTATTTTATTATTGTCTAACAATATAGCATACATTTTGCTGCGTAATCCGATAAAGTATTTGATAGCGCTTGAGTTCATTTCATCTTTAAACTTACCAATAACCTTTTTATTTGTGTCGTCATGAAATTTACTGTCACGTGGATAATCGGAAAGATCAAACAGATGTCGATTATTGTACATGTCCTGATAGATGTTCTCACATTCGATTTCATATACGAGCGAATCAGTATCAGTAAACAATAATCTACTAGCCGGCCACTGATTTTTAACAAAAGTGTAATGAAAATCGTACATCAGCCACTTTGATAAATCTAACACTGCAGCTCCAACATAGATCGGCTTGTTTAGTTTTAGATTTACTTTTCTTCTTTGTATCGCAACAAGATTTTCTTCTTTGTATCGCAACAAGATTTTCATTAAATATTTTCATGCTCACAAAATCATCGTCTGACACAAGTTTGTTTCTGCGATTGACATCATTAATTATTTCAATATTTACACGTTTCCTAATATTCTCCATCGTCTTACCAAAAACGGCATTGTTCATCAGTTTAAAGAAGTTTTTTTTCAAACTCTGTTTTCGCTGCAGCCCTTCTTGAAGTGTTTGAGTTAATGTAACCTCTCATCCACGGCGACTGATTAAATTTTAGTACACGATGAACTTTTCTCAACACAAGACCAGCATCGACTGCTTGTTTTAAAACTTTGTAATGCAAAACGTAATTTTTCTTATCAAGTAAATTTGGTACTAGTTTCTTGACCATGGAATGTTGCCTTGGTGATGCTAACGCTTGTTGTTCTTTTGATAACAAACTATAATCTATGACCATCGATTCCGCACAGAAAGGGTAATCATTATGTAATTTGTGTAGCGAATTTGGATAATCAAGATCAACTTCAACGAAATAGAAAATATCGTCGGGTATATTTTTTTTTCTGTCTCCGATAGAAATAGATCAGCCGTGATCCAATGAAATCCACCAAGAGGCATTGGTTCTGCCATCGAATACCCGTACAAGTTATTACAATCTAGATAAACTATATACTGAGAAGGAAGGTCAGGGTTATACTGTTTCAAATATTTGTTGTTTGATTCAACATAATTTTTTGTTATCACGCTAATACCGCCTCGGATACCTTTTTCAATAAAATTGAACATATCAACATCAGTCAGTAATTCCAACCTTACCTTACTAAACTTTAGCAGAGCATCCCATAACAACCCAGGGGCAGAATAATACCAGCAAGGATCTAGTCCATAATTATTATAACTCACTTCTCGAAAACTTTCAAAAACATCTGCTAATAATAACACGTCAGTTTTCAAATACAAATCATGATAATCACCAAAAGTCTCACAATCAAACTCTTTCCAGATATCTTGTGCATACCTGTACTCATCATCAGTTATATTTTCATTTTTAAGTTGTGAGTAAAATTTGTCTTTGCCAGGTAAAGATGTTTCATCAAATTTACTCCAGTCGTCGAGGTATTCGTATGGAAAAACTCCTTTTTTAGCTAGTAGATTAAATTTATCTCCAAAACAGTCTCTTAGGTTATCAAATTTACTACATCCTTTTACTAGCTCATCTAACGAGGCTGCCATAAACTGCAGGCTGTCAATAAAACGCAATTTACCTAGCGTAACTGACATGTACTTTGAAAAATTATTTGGGATGCATTTGATGACGCTATCGAGTTTTAGACGAGATTTTATATCAGGATCACCAAAAGCTTCTACTATAATATGGCTATCATATCCTCGAAAATTGTGAAGAATAACCGGAATAAAATCTGGAGCATGAAATTTTAAATTACACTGATTATGAGCCGCTCCACGATACTGTCCAGTCAAATGACAATGGTCATGTACTTTTTTGTTGTCAGTATCAAAAGCTTTTTCACAAATATGACAAATTTCTGCTTGCTCGTGATCGGATTCTTGTTGAGGTGTTAATTTTAACATTGGCGTTACTTTTTTCAAACGATAAGTAATATTATCAACTTCATTAATCAACTGCTTGAGAAGGTAGATAGCTGGATTTTTACCACGATATAATTTAATTGGTTTAGATAATCTAAAATCAGTACAACAAACTACCTTATACGCTACTCCACACGGAACATGATTTTGAACTTTTCTTGTACTCGATTGATTAGGATTATTTTCTACGCCAAGTACAGATTGAAGTAAACACTCAAAATCAGCGTATATAACGAAAGGAATTTTTAGTTTGTGATTATGATGGACAAACTGTAACACACTATCTTTTTTAGATGGCATTGTTATTTTTTGCACATCATTACAGTACTGCAAATGCTTTTGTAATGTTTCATTGTTAGCACAACCATGCAAGCAGCGGTAACAAAAGAACTTTTTGTTCCTATTTTTATTGTACTGTTTACCAACTAGTCCGTTAAAGTTTTTAATCCAAACGTAATGATTTTTGTAAAACAGTAAATTTATAGTCGATTGTGAAGCTTTTTCTGAAATATATCTCGGGTATACATCCTCTTTTTCATCTAGTCCGAAAACGTTAATTGAAACATTA